CCCCAAAACCCCAAAACCCCAAAACCCCTTAAAACTCCTCTAATTGAACTTTATTTAAATCAATTAGCATAATCATTTAAGTCATCATAATCTCACATAAAGCTCTTCCTTTCTTCGTAAATCTTGGAGGATTCTGATTCTGTAAGTCTTTACCAGTACATAAAAACTCGGAGTCAACTGAGCCCTTGTTGTTCTTGTTTGCATTCAGAGGGCGGGCTTTAGTTGACTGGGAAACTGGGTTGGAACGCATGTTGATGGGGTTTGAAGTCTGCGATATTACCTAGAGGGTTAGAAGAAGAAAAAGAGGTTTTTGAGGATTTTAGGATATTTTGAAAATTTTAAGATTTTTGGAATTTTTGGACCAACCTTGTGATGTTTGTCATAAGTATTGTAGCATTGGGAGTCTAAGTCGATAATTTTAGAAAAATCTGAGGAGTTGTGAGGGTCTTCTGATGATTCTGAAGGATTTCTAGAATCGCGAAGTTTCCTGAATCCTTTCTTTATGGCTCAATAGTTATCTATAACTTTAGTGACAAATAATACATTTAGGCTTTCGATGCGGAAGATGTCTGGAATTAACTGATTTTCCTCTCTGAGGGTAATAAATCTCTTCTGAGGATTCATCACTGTTGATCTTTGTAGGTGTCAGAACTTGCTGGATATCATTTTCTGTCTCAATCGTTCTATATTTAAATGTAAAATTATGGATAAAATAATAAAATTATGACTTACTTTCTGTAATTTTCTATTTGTGGAGGATTTCTGAGAAAATCCAGCTGACTTTTTGATTGCTCTTTGTCTAGATAAAGACGAGAGTTTTCTTCTGTAAGTTCACAATATTGCTTTGAAAAATTATTAGGAGTCTTTGAGTTGTAATGCTTTTCTTCTATATCCCTGCTTGATTCCAGAGTTGTGATATTCATATCATTTTTCTTATTTTCGTTAATAAAGCTGGATTTACGGCTTTTTGATCAGTGCTTTAGATTTCTATACAATCAGTCAACTTTAACATGAAAAAATATACCTTGTTTTCTTTTTAGTTACCAGCATATCACGATAATAAGTATTCTGGCCATATCCAAGAGACTTCTCTCGCTTTGTGAACTCTAGCTGTTTCTTGCATTTTCTTAATTTTCTTCTGTAACTTCTTGATTTTTGGTCTTTCTCTTGAATCAACTTCTCAAGTCCAGCAAGATTGTTCTTAAGAGGATCGATCAAATTTACTTGATTATTATGAAGATCTAGCTTTGTCTGCTTCAGTTCCTCTTCCAATGAACTGGAATAGTTCTGAAGATTGGTATTTTCTTTCTCAAGGTCTTCTATTCTCTTATATAATGAGTCTATGATTAAATCAGTAACCTACCAAAATTTTCTCCATGGAAGGATTTCTCGTCAGGAGCTTCATTAATTTCTTCAAGTTGTTGTGCCATCTTATCTATTTCTCTCTCTTTGAAATCTAGTTTCTTCAGAAGTTTGGCCATCTGCTTCTGATGTGTATGGGAGAGATCTTGGAGATCATCACATTTATTTCCGGTAGTTTACCTTTAACTTCTTGTGCTTCTGTCTAAGCTCTCTTAAGCTTTTAGCCTAGACATAAAATCATTAATTACATGTTCTTTAGGGTTATCTCAGTCTTTTTCAGCACTCAGATCAGCAATCTGGTTAAAAGCAATTTTGAACGACTGAAGAAGAAGGATTTTAAGTTTGCAGAAATGGGTTTCTAATTTATCAAGCTTGTAATATTCCTTAAATTTATCCATAGTTGACTGTATGATAGTGGTCAGATTATTCACTTTCTTCATATTGTCTAGAAGCTCTTTATTTGTTTCCATAAATTTGTTATCATGCTTCTGGCTCCCATCGATCCCCAGATTAGCAATTAGTTGTTCGAATATATTCTTTTTAGTACTGCCAAAGGAATCTTCAACATTAGCGTCTCCTTTGAATTTGTGCTCTAAAATATTAGAAATGACATACTTTTCTGGTTGAATGCAGTGAACTGGGAATTTGAGCTATTATCAGGCTTCTGGTTATCTCCTTCAGGATAACCATAAGCCTTTAGATTCCTCATAGAATCATCATTAAGGACAATGTTTGAAATCTGAATGTTCTCTTTATCAATTGAAGGGGATTTTCTTTTACTTTTAGTGCTCGAATCACCTCTCAAAGTGAAGAGTTTCTGGTTATTTGGATTTTCGTAGACTCTAGATGTTATGAGATCCAATACTTTTGAGATTCCACGGGTTTGAGTCTTTTTCAAATCTGTGTTGAAGGTCTCGCTTGTATTCTTTTGATATGCCTATCCATGCTGGTATTTGAATTTAAATTTAAAATTCCTTCAGTTATTATCTAACTTATAGGGGTTTTGGGGTTTTGGGGTTTTGGGGTTTTGGGG